TCAATATCATTTTCAAGAATCTCGATTCTCTTTCGTAACTTTTCATTTTCCTTCTCCAATTTCTCTTCACGTGTATCAATCATAACCTTTTCCTTTTCACCCTGTTTCTCCTGGCATGGGATTTCGTAATAAGGCATTTCGTATAACATATCACTATTGTATTCTGGTAGATACAAAGGATAGAAAACTTCACACCCGTTATCATCATAAATCACAGTATTATAATCATATATATCAGAAGGTGGAAGTTGTTCATTGGAAAAATACAGATTACCATCGATCTTTTCAAAGTTATCCATTGTTTATTAGAGAATATAGCTTGAATTTATATTTTGGTCATTCTTTTATAATCTAAAATTCGAGTAACCGATCATGTTAGTTTTGGTTAGAAAAATTAATTTGGAATTAGATTTCCCGTTATGATTCCTTTTTCCCACCGAAGTATTCCGATTTTCCTTGGGTAACTTCAAGGAACAAATTAAATTTCGTCCCCATTCACCTGCAACGTAGTATTTCGCCTTATAGATAATCATTACTTATCTATCAATAAAAATTATGTAATATAAATTGACGATCTATAACCTTATTTATGATGTGATATTTGATGTGATTATCGAGTGTATTAGTACACGCTATACTATAGATGAACCATAATTTGTTTTACTTCACTCTATTTTTCTTTATATTTCTTATATTTTGTCAAATGATCTTTATCTTTCTCTTTATTTTTTCTGCAAATTATATAATAAGAGTTCTTATATAGGTCTGGTCTTCTGTTAGCTAAGATTTTTAAAACTAGCAACTTTTTATAAAAGTACTTGATTAGTATATCTAAACATTTGTTTTTTCTTGAGCTAGTATATCTGATTCTATTTTGGTTTCTAATTTTTTTTTTTACAAGATAGGCTAGTATTGCATATTTGGCAAGTTATTTGGTTTTTTCTTTTGTATCACTGATGTTATTCTTCAATTTATACTATTTGGAAACCATGAATTATTTATATGAATTGTTTAGTAGAATTTTTTATTATCAACCCTTCTTAACTCAGAAAAATATTTGATTCCACTATCTAAATTTTGCTAATTTTTCTGTTTTATCATTTTATCTATTTTTACTATGAGTCTTAACCTTTATTAGTTCTATCTAAATCTTCTTAATCTTAACTATATTGTCTATACTATTTACTAAATTATAATTTTTCTCATTTAATATTTGTTGTATTGTCTTCTTTCTCTTTTTTTTCTTTTATACCTTCTATTGCTACTATACTATTTGTATAGATTTTAATTTTTTTTACTAGATACAATAAGAAGTATATACTAGATTTTAAGCAATTTGGCTTTTGTTAAGATGGCCAATTTCTTGCTCTACTTTTATCTTTATTCACATATATTCAGCTAGCCTCTATACTGTCTGGCTCAGTTCACAAAGATGTATTATTGCTTTTTAAAGATTTATCTGTATAGAATATTATTTGATACTAAGAGTTTTTTTTACTGCTAAGTTTTTTTAATAAGATCTTTTTGTATTTTTAAACTAATGTGTTGCTTTTTAATGATTTCAATATTCAAGTCATAGCAACAAGATATTTGTACTTTTCTTTATTTGGATGTATTTCTAATACAGTGAGTTTTTGTATTGATTTAAATATTTCTTGACTAACTTAAGGGTATTCTTCTTTTGTTTGTTTATATATCCTAAAATAGAACCCTATATTTCTCTGTTCTTAATTAGTTTTTGGTACAAATTTTCTTGCTTCTCTTGATCTAGCTCACATCTATTACATTTTTTAGTTTAGTTGATAGTATGTTCAAGTCTTTCTTTATTTTTTAATACTCTACCAAAATTTTTTTTTATTTTTTTATAAGTTCTCTTGATAATTAGGTCTTTATTTTCTTTATTCTTTGTATTTTAAACTAGTATTTAGTTTTTCTTTCTATAGTTCTTTTTTAAAAGATCTAAAACAACCAGAAGTATTTAAAGATTTGAGCTTTCTATCTTAAATTCTACCTTTATAGCTCTGCTTTCTTCATCTTCTAGTACTGTCTTCTCTATTATTTGAGACTATTTCAATTTTTTGCCCTTACTTGAGTTATTTTTTAAAACCTTTAACTGCTACCAAGTTATTAGTTGATCTTTTATGCTTGTTAGCAGTTGTTTAAATGAAATTAAATTTAATTTTCTTAAATTTTAGCTACTAATATAGTAAAATTTTCTTTAAATAAAATAGTTAATCTAAACTCTTTGCTTTTTGTTATTAGGTCAGTACTTCTGAACTTGAGAGTAATTCCTAAATTTCTAGTATTTAATATTGTTTGGCATATTAAATTTTTTTAAAGTTATATACAAACTTCTAATGACTATTTATGCTATATATTTTCTGTTGCCTCTATTAGTCTTATACTATATATTATTTTTAAAAGTATCAAAATTTCTCTGAATTTAAGATATTCAGTTAAAAATATAAGCTGATATTAAAACCAGATATAATCTATTTAGTATCATATTTAATTTTAACTTTGAGAATTTAATTCTTTTAATTATATTCTATAGTAGTTGTATACTCTATTAAGAAGCCAAATCAAAGAAAGCACAAAAGCAAAAAAATACAAAGATATAAAAGATTATAATAAAATATACAAGCAAGAAAAGAAGAAAATAATAAAATATAAAAACAAAACAAAAAAAATTTATCTATCTTAATTTTATTATTATAAGCCTGTAAAAAGGCTTGTAAAAATTATATACTACTAAACAAATTAATCTATACTCTAAATTTATTTAAATAGTATATAAAAGTAAAAAATCAGTAGAAAACCCTTTATTAACCAGAATAATATAGTTAGGTCAATATTGGCTATTAGTTTTAAAGTAATATTTAATTAGTTTGTTGTATTTGAGGTATATACTCTTATATAATTATTGTTCTTTATACTAATTTAGAAGATAAATAATACTAACTGTTATAGTATATGTGATATTGATCTTTTGGAATAGTAAACTGAATACTTACTTTTTGCAAAAAATTCTTTAAAAAAATAGTAGATAATGAGAATATATGAGATTCTTCTTGTAAGTTTTACAGTTATATAAACCAATTCCTTAGTTTTTACTAGATATTCTTGCCCAGAGACCCACAGTAATTTTGCTTTCAAAATATTCTTTTGGTTTGGATGCAAAAGTATGAGAAGTCTACTAAAAGCTTAACCCAAGACACAGAATATCTGTTGTTATATGTCTACTACAATTAAGATCCTTGCACTATTACACAACTGCAAAGATCTTTAATTCAGACAGTACTCTTTCTAACTTTCAGGTAGGATGGGTAAAACAATGAAGCCAGCCTAATATCATAAGATGGCGATAGCAAAACCAAAGATAAAATTTTCTTAATACAAAATTTTCTCTATATATATCAGCTTTTACATGGTTAAGCATGATATCATATTACACTTACAAACCCATATACCATGATGTCATTTTTGATCTTGTAATATTGTTGGCTCTGTCATTTCATTGACGAGCCAATTACAAATATGTAGGCCTACCAAAAAATTAATTGTCAATTAATTTTTATCATACATCATACAATTAAAATTAATCAAAATTATCATAAAATTAATTAAAACCCAATTAATGACAAAATAATTGCAATTAATTGCAATTATTTGTTAAGCATGGTACTTACTGCAGTCAGGTATTTTACATGATATAGAAATGATTTGCAATATACTAAAAGGTTATTCTAAAACCGATTTCTATTTTAAAAAAAAAGCATTTTTTATTATTTAAAAATAACAATTAGTTTTAAAAAACCTTTAAAATTTTCTTGCAAAAGTTTATTCTATAAATATGTAGTTTAGGAATCTGTGGGGATCCCTGAAGCTTTAAAAGATGGTTGTGTGCCAAATAATAACACAGCCAATGATTAGTACAGATTTCGTTCATAGAATTCAAAAAGAATTTTTTAATTGAAGATCTTTTACAAAAAAGAGAAATAATCCACATTACATGAATTTGAAAATCTCTAACTACTAGATCAAAAAAATAAGGGTTTTCATTATTATATATAGCTAACCTGTATAAAACTTGCATATGAGCAAATTTGGAAAATTTATTCTAATAATTGTACCACATTTTGGCACTAGTATGAATTCCAGTTACATTGTTTGATTGCAATAATATATAACGATAATACATTTTTGAATAAAAAAAGTATAGTGATAGAAATTATAATATTATCTAACTTGGTTTACATCCTGAATTGACCACATATTACTGTTCATTCTTAGAAGCAAAAGATTTTCTAAGAAATGTAGGTCAAGTGATTTTCTTGAGTCTGTATAATAATATTTGATAATCGAAAATAATCATTCTACTGCATTAGATATTGGAGAAATAAAATTCATATCCATATATTTTGATTCATCTAGTTTGCATTTTTTTGCTACACATTCTTTCATTATCATAGATTCTTCTACTATTGGCTGAATATTTTCTTTCACAATAAACTATTGAAGTTTTTGCTTCTCAATGAATGTCAGACCAGCTTCTTGTTTACATAAAACTTTGACTACAGCAATTTCAAAAAGAGGATCATAGATTATTGAAATATTTCTTCCTAATCGACTTTTCAGTTCTGGATATTCTTCAATCAACAAGTCAAAATAAGCATGAACATCGTCTAAATTTATTGATTCACTTTGTAAATCGTTGGTTGTCTCTTCAAAATATTTAAGTTAATTAATAAAACTATCAACTTCATTTAAATTTAATTGCTCTACTAATAAAATATTTTGAGCTAAAAAATTAAAAGTAAAATAAAAATAAATAAATTAATTAAAATAAATAAATAAATTAATAAAAATCAAAAAAATTAAAATATATGTATACTCAAAAATCTATTAACTTGCATAACATGAGGAATAAGTTCTTTACAACATTTAACTATTTTTAATATACTCATCCAATGAGTTGCATTATCCAATATAGGCTTTAACGAAATCACCTTTGCAAGTTTTTCACGGTTTTTGTAAGTTCGCATCATGATCATAATTGTGCGAATTTAGTTTACAAGGTTATATTAAGTATTAATAATATCATTAATGGCTAAATTTAGATGATGTGAAGCATATCCTACAATTGGAAGATTTAAATCACTTGCTATTTTTTTTATTAGTACTACAGTTATCTTCTGAAAGAAACAGAACATCACAAGTATTTTTATCATAACTCTAAAACATCTTCAACGAATTGAACATGTGTATCTGCACTCTAGGTGGTACGATCCTCAAATGG